AAAAAAAAAAAAAAAAAAAAAAAGACAATACTTCAGTATGAAACTAAATGTTTCTTTGCCTACACTTCTGTTTTTCAGGCATCCGAGATGTTTCTAAATGGAGTGAGAGAACAAGAAAGCCTCTAGAAGCCCTCTATGGGTATGACTACTTTGCCAGAACCTGTGAAAAGTGGGTGGATGGCATAAGACAGTTTAAACGTCTCCCAGATGGTAGGTTACTGGGCTCGAAGGGCTCTCTGCCTGTTACAGAGGGTGCGCGAGTTCCTCCCCAGTGTTCCAGAATTGCTCAGTGATTCATGAATCTGCCCATCGCCCTCACACGCTCATGTGTGAACAGAACAGAGAATACTAGTTACTGTGTACTGTGCCAGTTCTTGTGTAGTCAATCTGGCTTAACGTAGAGATAGGGCTGCACGTCCAAAGGTTCACATTGTTGAGTCTTTAATAGCAGACTGTTCTCTTTTCCTTCTTATCCTTGGTGTGTGTGTGATGACAAAATAATTACCCAGAAGCCTTGAACAGTTTCTATTTTCTAATTCCAGAATGAGTCATTCGAAAATAAATAGACCACAATATGTACAATATTTTTTCCTTTTTACACTTTTAGATGTGTCACCCCACAAGGACACTGTTAATCTTTAATCTCAATGGAGTTAATATGAGGAAGAAAATATAATTTTTTCCCATCTTCAGAACTAAGTGATATGACCTTAACTATGAACAAATATCTCCTATTCTTTTTTTTTTTTTTTTTTTTTTTTAAGATGTAGTCTCACTGTGTCGCCAGGCTGGAATGCAGTGGCATGATCTCAGCTCACTGCAATCTCTGCCTCCCGGGTTCAAGCGATTCCCCTGCCTCAGCCTCCCAAGTAGCTGGGACTATAGGTGTGCACCACCATGCAGGCAATTTTTTTTGTATTTCAGTAGAGACAGGGTTTCACCATGTTGGCCAGGATGGTCTTGATCTCCTGATCTCATGATCTGCCCACCTTGGCCCCCCACAAGTGCTGGGATTACAGGCCTGAGCCACCACACCTAGCCTCCTATTCTTTATCTGAAAAATTACCAAGATTTCCAGTTAAAGTAAGAATTGACATCTTTAAGAGAAATTCTGAATTATAGTTTATTTTCATACAGCTATTTATGTTTATAATCTCATTTTTCTTTTTCTTTTTTAATTGCTGAGAAAATAGAGTAGCTGAGATCTAATCTTGGAGTGCATTGTTACAAAATGGTTGTGATTGAAGGACCAATTTGATCTATTAGGTAATCATTTCCTGCATGAGTCATCTGCCAGAACTTTCACAATGAAAAGGACGTTTGGAAATGTTACTCTTCTGGTTTGAGTTGAAAGCAGCAAATATATCAAATATATGCCTTATAATGCTCCTGTTCAGATGCAGTATCCACCCATGGAAACAGGCCCTGGAAATCTCTGCTCTTAAAACAAACAAAAAAATGCCATAAAGCAATGTTTGAGACAGTTCTCCATTAAAGAGGGCACATTTGTAAAATGTAAACTTTTATGTTTTATTGAAGAGAGTAGTGAAAAGATAAGAAGATTTAAAGGTGGAAATAGGGTTAAATCAACAATTCAAAAATACGTTCTTGATACAGAGGCTGCAGCAGTGTAGAAACTCTCTCACAGCGAGGCCCTCATGCTCTGTCCCCCTTCTGTGCTGGCTAATTTGGTAGGAGCCCCGTTTTCCTCACTGTCCTCTCAGGTTTGTGGATGCTTGGTATAGCATAGGGATTCATTGCATGGCTCTGGAGTGCGATGGGCCGGAGTGTGCATTCTGGCTGTGCCCCTGGCTTGCTGTTAGAATGGATCTGGGCAGGTAACTTCGCTTCTTGAAGCTTCAGTTTCCTGTCTGTGACCTGGAAAAGCTGTTGTGGGGATTAAATGAGATATGATCTGTTCAGCTTTGGTGCAGGATCAAAGACAGAGTAGGTGCCTAATGAAAGGTTGGCGTTACTGTTATTACAAAAGTACTTAACAGACAAACATTTTTATATGCTGAATGAGTTAAAACATGTAACTGCTGGGTTTAACAGATATGAAATTGTGTAAACAGTTCCTGGTACAAAGTGAGCACTCAGGAATATTGACTTTGATCATCACATGATGAAGCAGTTGGCCAGTGTGTGTCATCTCGGGACAGGAGAGGGAAGTGTCAGAGACCTGGAGAAGTATTTCCCTAGTCACCGGGTCCCCTTCTCACTTAGCAGGCGGGGACTTCCCACTGAAGAGGAGGGAAAGGCCCAGGGCAAGGCAGGGCAGCACTGCATTGTGGGGGCAGCTCCCAGCCTTCTCAGAGCTGCAGCATCTTCTTCTTGACACACACGGAGAAGGGAGGGAGGAGAAGGAAAGAGCTAGCTTAGGGATGCCGGGAACCGTAGAAGCAGCTCTCCCGTTAGCCCCACGACAGGCCCCGGGAACTATGATTGTTCCTGTTTGTGGCTGAAGCTCCCAGTGGTTAAGGGGCCACCACAGTCTCACAGAGGCAGGAAACTGCAGTACGGGGACTAGGGCCCAGGCTGTCCATCATTGCCTCCGGAAAAGTTCTCATAAATAGGGGTGAGTCCTTACAGTCTCTCCAAAGGATGTCACTCAGGAGTGTCACAGGAGCATCAGTGATAAGGCATCAGTGATGTGCAAGTTGTATAATGAATTCATTGTGAGGCTCATATGCTTTGAGGACTGGCCGGGGCCCCTACACTCGTCTGAAATGTGATTTCCAGGGAAAAGCTCTACAGGTGTCCAGCACCTACCCCTGTTTTCACATTGGGAACTGCCACTGTGGAATATAGTGGTGGGGTGTTTATTTGATTTTCCTACTATTTTATGTGAATTTAAATCAGGCTGCTTATTTACTAGTAGAACTCAGAAACAGGCAAACAAACAAGAAACAGAATCAGAAAAGGGAATCCAAAGAATGTTAGCGCTGGAAGGGATCCCAGGCACGGTCAAATCCAAACCACGGTTTTTACAGATAGGCAAACTGAAGGCCAAGGAGGGGCAGGGCGCGCCGAGCTTTGCTTCCTCTGACAGCGTAGAATGGTTGCACTAAAGCAGATTTCTTGTGCTGTGTATCTTTCAGGTAACATCTGCCGGCACCTGCTGCCCCAGGTCCAGTGCCCCACCTTGATTGTGCACGGTGAGAAGGATCCTCTGGTCCCGCGGTTTCATGCCGACTTCATTCATGAGCACGTGAAAGGCTCACGGTAAGTCCTGTCACCACCTTCACGCTCCCCCCGACAGAGCCTCGGAGTCAATGGGCAGAGCTACTGGAAGGAAAAGAACCAAGAGGAGTTGGAGTTTTAGAGTACACAGCCCCCCTGTTTGCCAGTGCAGTCAGTAGCACCGCTTTATTTAGGGGACCACGGAGGACAGAAGCCCTGAACTGTGGGTGATTGATAACCGGAAGGAAAGGCACGCTCAGCTAGTCAGCTCTTACTTTTATGAGTGGCAAACATGCTCATAGGTACTAAGTCCTGTCACTTGGTAATAGTTCAGGTTTATTTCCATCAGTATTAACCGAAATAATTTCACACAATTTAGGAATTTTCAGTTTAGTTTTTTATCATTATGAAAGCACTGACCACCCAATTAAAAAAAATCTGTTAAACCAAATTTCTGATGTCTGCTGACAGGCAGCGCCACTCAGCACGGCTAATGGTAGTGTTCCCTGTCCCAAAAGCCCTCCGGCCAGCCGGAAAAGCAGGCACAGAAACAGCTCCACTGCTTCCTTATCACTCTGTTCTGTGATATATTTAACAACGGATTTCTCAGAGAATTTGTAAATGAGGATAAAAAGTTTCTGTTCCATAATAAAATACAATTACCATAAACCTTTATAATTCCTATATCCATAATGGATAATGCTATATCCATTTAGCATTTTTTAAGTTAAAAGGCATCTCTTTATTCCACACATTCCTCCTATGCCACTTCAACCATGAATCAAAAATGCACATGAGCCTGTATAACAAGTAATTCATGTGGTGAGAGCGTAGAGTCAGTGAAGAGCAAAGGTGGGAGTTAGGCAGGATTATTTTGCGGGTGGACAAAGAGGTTTAGTGGAGAAGTTATTTATTTTTTTTGGAGCTAGAGTCTCGCACTGTCGCCTGGGCTGGAGTGCAGTGCGTGATCTCGGCTAACTGCAACCTCCGCCTCCCGTGTTCAAGCGATTCTACCACCTCAGCCTCCCAAGTAGGTGGGATTACAGGTGTACGCCACCACGCCCAGCTAATTTTTTGTATTTTTAGTTGTAACGGTTTTTGCTATGTTAGCCAGGCTTGTCTCAAACTCCTGACCTCGTGATCCGCCTGCCTTGGCCTTCAAAGTGCTGGGATTACAGGCGTGAGTGACCACGCCTCACTTGGAGTTTTTAAATTGATATAGTAGGGGCTGGGCACAGTGGCTCACACCTGTAATTCCAGCACTTTGGGAGGCTGACGTGGGCGGTTCACTTGAGGCCAGGAGTTCAAAACCAGCCTGGCCAACGTGGCAAAACCCCATCTCTACTAAAAATACAAAAATTAGCCGGGCATGGTGGCAGGCACCTGTAATCCCAGCTACTCAGGAAGCTGAGTCAGGAGAATCACTTGAACCTGGGAGGCAGAGGTTGCAGTGAGCCAAGATTATGCCACTACATTCCAGCCTGGGTGACACAGTGAGACTCCGTCTCAGAAATAAATAAATAAATAAATAAATAAAAATAAATGTATTTAGTAGGCAATAAAAGGTATTTTCAAACTAGACTTTACAAAATTATAATACTAAGTCATGGTCATGGTACAAAATTCCAATAGTATACTTTCTTATAAATCCTTGCAAAAGTTTTTTTTTTTTTTTTTGTTGAGGTGGAGTTTCGCTCTTGTTGCCCAAGCTGAAGTGCAATGGCGTAATCTTGGCTCACTGCAACCTCTGCCTCCCGGGTTCAAGTGATTCTCCTGCCTCAGCCTCCTGAGTAGCTGGGATTACAGGCGTGTGCCACCACGCCCAGCTAATTTTTGCATTTTTAGTAGAGACATGGTTTCACTGTGTTAGCCAGGATGGTCTCGATCTCCTGACCTCATGATCTGCCTGCCTCGGCCTCCCGAAGTGCTGGGATTAACAGGCGTGAACCACCACGCCCAGCCTGCAAAAATTTTTTATGCAATCTCAGTTTTTGTGCTTTTGATTGTGTTTGCAGTGTGCAAAGTGATGTCTCCATATAGCACTTAATATTTTAAAAGGTATTTTTTATATAGTATCTAGTTATAGTTTATGACACACTTATGAAAAAAATTATCCATTTTACAGATGAGAAATCACGGCTGAGAGATGTTAAGCAATCTTTCAAGGCTGCATAGCTAGTAAATAATGAATCTTAGATTTTTCTCCTAATATGGTGCTTTTCCACCATAGTACAGCTGCCACTTCTCTCTTAATATGTACGATGGTAACGTGCCCAGAATAAGATACCAGGTGACCTGGTTAATTGTCTTCCAGCTTCAGAAATGACAGGTTTTTCACAGTGACATACATAGTAAATGTGGTATGTGCCCTTAAACAGCCAGGTTCAATTAAAGTCAGTCTACAAGAACGTTTAATTTAGGAATTAAAGTTTAATTTAAGCCCATCTCCTAGCAACAGAATACATCAGTATAGGAGAAAAACACCCTTACTATGCAGATATTAATTGTTTTAGTAGACTATTTTATGGAAGATCACTTTCTTAAAGCAATATTCTGTGGAGGAAATAGGTTGAGTATAAAGTGTTATTAGCAATGACTGTCGAAAACTGGATTGTAGCGCCGGGCACGGTGGCTCACGCCTGTAATCCCAGCACTTTGGGAGGCCAAGGCCTGTCTCTTATACACATCTAGATGTGTATAAGAGACAGTGGTGAAACCCCGTTTCTACTAAAAATACAAAAAATTACCCGGGCATGGTGGTGGCGGGCGCCTGTGGTCCCAGCTACTCAGGAGGCTGAGGCAGGAGAATGACGTGAACCCAGGAGGCAGAGCTTGCAGTGAGCCGAGAAGAAAACTGGCTTGTATTTTCTACTTATTATCTTCCTCTGCTGTAAGAGCCCTTTATGTTGGGCATGAGCCTGCCTAGAATGTGGTTGGTTTATTTTGGTATCCACAAAACGAAGGCAGATTCGCTGAGTACCAAAACCCGACTGTGTTGTGTGCACATCTGACAGCCATCTGACAGCAGGGAAACAACTTGGTGTAGCAAGCTTCCAGTGAACTGGATATTTCATTGCCTTGCGAGGTACTTTTGTTTTTTTGACATAGGGTCTCACTCTGTCACCCAGGCTAGGGTACAGTGGTGGGATCATACCTCACTGCAGCCTCGAACTCCTGGGTTCAAGCCATCCTCTCACCTCCCAAAGTGCTGGGATTACAGGTACAAGCCACCATGCCCGGCTGCCAGGTACACTTTTAATTAAACTTAAAGGCACAGGCCAGGCGCGGTGGCTCACACCTGTAATCCCAGCACTTTGGGAGGCCAAGGCGGGCGGATCACAAGGTCAGGAGATCGAGACCATCCTGGCTAACACGGTGAAACCCCGTCTCTGCTAAAAATACAAAAAATTAGCTGGGCGTAGTGGCGGGCCTACCCAAAGGAGGTCACACTCTGAGATGCTA